TCGACAAACATTGTGTGAAATGGTTGGATTTGACATCAGTTGTATACATATAATGTAAGGACCATTCAATTACATAATCACGACCAACCTCGACGCTTCAGTGGTCAGGCGTTCGGTTATAGATATTCCTGACAGTATAACCTTTTCGCATATGTAAAGAAATCGACTTTTTCTAAAGTATGAACTTGTTTGTAATGCTTTTAGACATTGAAAATGGCAGAAATTAGATGATAATCATATTTTCAACACAAACACGACCATTTCTTTTTCATGATCTGGCAAACGATATTTGTACATGGATAAAACCTATGATTATGTCGACTACATTTTTTGAGAGGTTTGGCGATGGGTTTGTAATAATATTGTATAGTACTGTATAAGTAATTAAAAATATTTATTCCTAAACCAGAATCATTTACAAAGTGCTTTAAATCTATGTAGATAGTGTTAGTTTCCAGTTGAGCAAATATCTCATTAGGTCTTTCAGAAAGATTTTGAAAAATGAATTTTACAGGTCTGAGCAGTTATTAATGTATTATCTAAAATTTTCTGATGAGATCATTATTGGGTATCGGCCAGTTTATAATGACTGTAACTAATGCCTACGACTATTATAACATCATTTTCTGTAACTAGATGACAATTCATACCAACCTTCTTACGTACAAATTGATGCATTGATATGTCATACAGAATCACCTTGACCAAAATAGCATGATATTGACATGTTCAGTTGCATCATGATTTTGACTTTACTAGATATGATTTGTCCTGATGATTCACATATTTTTGGTGAAATTTCTTACAAATTTGATGAAAATATGTTGAATGAATCAAATCATAATCAAAAACCTGATTCAGTTTTGATGGATGCTGATGTTTCTAATGATCCATTACTCTCCATTGACATTTACAATAAATTTGAGGAAAATATTTAAGAAGAATCAAATCCAGATGTCAAATCCAATATTATTTGTCCTCATAATGCATTTGTTTCTTGTGAAAAACGTGTTCAATGAGAAACACGAGTAATAAATGAGCTCGATTTTGATTACAATTCGGATGATTATATATCAACTGTTGTTTATCCTTATCGTGTAGTCACTCCTAATAGATACTGTAGTCAATATGAGAGGTATGTTTTAAATGAATTCACATCATTTATAACATTATTTCGTGAGAAAGGAATGTGTTAGGAAGTCGATGGTTCAAATTCTAGATATCAGCGGTTTCAGTACACAACCGGCATGGTGATCGTATACAATTCAAGGACCCATATAGTACAGAATCTACATTCATTATACAATCGGACAGACATATAATGAACCTAAGGAGAAGAGGTACGACTGATCCTCACTTAAGCTATAGCAGATGTAGTGTTTGTATGAACTAATGATTCCTTTGTAAATGATGACCGCTTGGTTTTGAATTCCAAATACAATACGTTCGTTCGTACTCATATAGTTTTTCTTGGTTAAAATGCGTTATTTCTAAAAATTCCAAATTAGTACAATAGATCAAATACTCCTAATCATCACAGTTCGCTCCACAAGAGCAGCTGAAAGAAGTGGCTACTCTAGATAATTTATCTTTCAATCACGGAATGATTATCAGACGTGTAGAAAACAATAATTGTAGTTCACTTACATTAAAAGTTCGTTGGATTGCTCTCTGCAATTTAAATAGTGGCATTTTGCTGGGTACATTGTCTGTAAATTGTAAGCGCATATACACAGTGTTCTTGCTCATAGTTAAGTATTCTTCATGCTCTGTTTTCTTGGGTAAGTGTTTACCTATAAATTTCTCCGGATATACATTTTGTTTCAGGGTAGTACGGCAATGCTTTTGTTTTCTCTTTAACTGTATCTAGGGAGTACATGGTCTTGGTTCTACAATGAAGTGTGTTAATCAGGTTCCGTCTATATTGTAGAAAAACAAAACCAAGAAAAGTTTGTCCCTAAATATTTATGTTTTGATTTATTATTTATATTACAAACAATCGCTAATTCACATGCTATGATTTTAAATGATGTACTGTGCCTCAAACCTAGCCATTTTTTGTATTGGTAATTTGGACATATAATTGTAGAACCTGATGAGAACTTATCGAAAAGAATATTTTTTGTTCATATATCTGTATTGTCCTACTGTTTTTTCCACTTTTATTCTATTGTAGCAATCTTTGTATTGTAGAAATATGGAAAGATGAAGTCATACTGCATGCAGATGATAATGTATGACACTTGTAGACACATTATTGTTAAGCTCATTATATTAATACATGAGATCGATTTTATGTGAACTTGTAAGCAAATAAAACGATTTTATCAAACAGAAAGCATGTTATTTAAATGACGATTTTAAAGCTTACAAAAATTTGTGTTCATATAAAGTTAAATTAGCACCAATGTTCTTCGACAATATTTAAGTGACAGGTGTTGATTCACAGACACCATAAAAATAGTAACAAGTGTTTCGGAGACGTTAGCTGTACGTTTCAGGAAAATATTGAATCAACCAATTATTCTGCCTTATTATCTAAATAGATTACTAACCAGATGACTATAAGCATCTTCCATATCTAGCAATTCCTAGCGCCATTCAATTTTCAGGATTTAATAGAATATCAGAAGTATTTTAGCATACGAGCAGTTGTTAGGAACCAACAGATAACGTACAAGCTTTATTTATGCAAATATGAACGATGATTAGCGAATAATAAAAGGTGAGATAAAACTTCATCCTGTATTTAAGGTCCTGTAATTGAAAAATAAACAAACTAAATGTAGCCTGATTTGTAGTAAAAAGATGCTGTTAAATCTGAGATAATCTGTAATAATTAGTCTGAGTTTAACCATATGTCATTTTAAAATGAATTGTAAGATACGAATATACTGATCTCTGAATGTCGTTCTATCCAGTGATTGCAGATGTTTTTAGAAAGAAATGATGTAGTTATACAATGTCTGCTTGTTCATTAATGAAGTTCATTCTTTCTGTTTCTACTACAGATTTATGTTTCAAATAGTAACGCATCATTATTGTCAATTCATGAAATTTGCAAACAAATCCATTAGCCTTCTAATAGTGAATATCATTGGTTAAAAAATAGTCTACAGAAAAAATACTTGATGTATAAATATAATTCACCACAAAATTATGTCAGTCTGCATTTAAAAAAAACAATTGGGTTTTTTAATTATAAACTCAAATAAACTTTTCTTCCAATAGTTAAGATCATGAGTCAATTGAAGCTAGACCGACATGGAAAACCCGGAAGCACTGGACGGCCGATTCGCCCTATTGTGGGAATCTTTTCACATATGAATCAACATATGCTCAATACTGACTGGCTTCAAGAGGTATATCCTGGAGTTCTAGTGAGAAGCAGTGACCAGTGGTGTTCAACTGGGTCAGTTGTGAGATAGTAACTCATTAAAGACAATGGTGGATGTGTCGTTCAATTTCGTGAATTAGTTGAAGTTAGACACTAACACCGTTGGATGCCGGCTTAGTTGTCTAATGGTTAAGCGCTCTCGTGAGACTGATAGATCCTGTGTTCGAATCTCGAGGGGGGTGGGATCGTGGATGTGTATTGCTTAGGAGTGCCAAAATAGGGTGAAACGGTTGTCTAATGCTTCCAGGTTTTCCATGGTGGTCTAGCTATAACTGACTCATGATCTTAACTATTGAAATTACTAAATCTCCACAAAACCACTTCTGATATTAAACTTTTGTTTCGTGTTTAAGTGTAATAATTTAACAAAAGTTAATCAATCCTTTAAAGTGAACTACTTCTATAGTTCATGTTTATTCATTTAATATTTGATTGATTCGAATAATAAGAATCAAGCTAATATTTTCGTTAATAACATCGAACTATGAATACTAATTCCTAGTAATTAGACGGTTAATTTATATGTAACAACAAATGAATTTAAACAACCAGAATTCATTCCACAACAGATGAATAACTACATTTTTTTAACAAAAAATCTTGATGATATATAACACCTTCAAAACTATCTAACCTACCTTTCCACTTTAGTCTTTTTGAAAGTAATTTTATTTTTGAAAATTACCTGAAATACATATTACAGGTTAAGTGGTTAATTAATTCAAACATATGTGTTTTATTTACTAGTTGAATTCATGAATCAATTGAAGCCAGAGTACTAGGGAAACGTGGAAGCAATGGACGGTCGTTTCGTCCTATTATTAAATTACTAAAATCTCCACAAAACCCTCTTCTGATAATATTTTGTTCACACAGTAGAGCTCGTTAATGATTGCGTATAAAAGTAATAAGTAAAAATCACATGTATATTTAAAGGTTAACAAATTTATTTGATATTTAATGTACTCAAAATCACATGACTACCATAATAAATATTTTTCTGTATGTGTGTGTGGAGATCAGTGAGTATATATGAAATAAAAAATTTAGAAAATATAATCGATTATAACCCCTCCCTGTTATTTACATTTTTTCTTAATAATTTGAACTCTATATCCAAGTGACTTTTATTGTATAAATCCTTTTATAATATACTTATTTACCCATATTGTCCAGAAGCAGACCATTGAAAAGGATTTTAAACTAAAAATTCTTAATCTATTTTTGCTAAAAAGTTTTTTTGAAATTGCCCAATAAGTGGGAAAAAAATGAAAGGAAACTACCACTTATCCATATTTATTAGGCACGTACATAAATCTATGTGTGAATGTACGTGTTAAATATGTGTATGTATGTGTGTATAGTGTACTTACTTAAGTATGGCTTTGTATGTATGTTTACGTTTTTCCTTTAAGCTATTTTGAGTTATAACAATTCCATGCAAATTATATTAGTTAGAGAATAAATGTTCATTACATAACCAAATCGTGCAACACTAAAGTTGTATAATATACTTCAGACAACAGCGTTTCTGTAGTTACTACTTTAAAATTATTTATTTCTCACCATAATATTATTGTTGTGTTCAAGCTTCAACACAATAATGGATGACTGCAGTTCAGATATAATTGAACAAGCTCGTCAGTTGTTTATGCATTGTGATACAGATGATTGTGGCTATTTAACACGTCAAGCATTAGATCGTCTTAGTGATCGTTTACCATTGACAATTTCACAATTGGATTTTGTATTCAATCTACTGGATAAAGATAAAAATGGACAATTGACTTTGGATGAATTCATTCAAGGTTTCGGTAAGTGATTATTTTATAATATAATAAATTATTATTTGTAAAGATCCCAATTAATTTTTGGTGATTAGATAAGCTTTGTTGTTAACTGAATTAACTTCATTCCTTCCTCAACTGTCTGATAGCCAAGCTGAGGGATTAAAGAATCCGTTGTATTATAACAGTTGTTGAATTGATAAAGGCACTTTTTAAAAGCTTTGATCAGTACAACTATTTTGCTTGTTGTAATCACGTAATGAATTCGGCTTTCATAGAAAATCAAACTTGTGTCAATAGACCACACAATTAAAATATTGATATTTAATTATTCTGGTTCCAAACAATCGCTTGTAAAATTAAATCACTTTAGCAGTGAATTGCTAGCTATTAGGACGTGTAATTGCTACAGAAACTGAATGGATATTAGAAAATTCTTTTGCCGATGTTCATTTTAGTCACATTTTACCAACCATCAAACTTTAATTATAGATAAACAAAGGTAAGACTTACATTTTCTTAAATAGAGATAAAATAATCATAGTTGAGCCATCATCACCCAAATTAGGAATTGATTATATTTCATTCCTTGTATATTTGATGGATTTTCAGTCTGAAGATCTTTGAAGAAGAGTTATTCATTCTTACAAAAGCAGTAATTGAAAAAAGGATAAACCAAGATTTCTCAACAGAAAGTTGAAGCCAAAACCTTCAAAAGAACCTATCATTTATGTGCCCGAAAAATACTTACATCAATGTTCACTTCAAAGGTGACATGTTATTTTGTGGATTGACGTTCATAATAAGGTCCAGCGTTTGATCACTGGAGGGGTTGTAGATGTGCACTTTCAAATAGTCTGTTTAAAGGGAGAAGTAGTTGTCAAGAGCTTTCTAGTTATCAAAGGCACTCGAACCGAGGTTATAAAGTAATAAGTACCATTGACAAATCAAACTGATCTACGTTGAACATCCGTAATACAGTAGCTCACTTTCATTAATCGGGTTATCTCGTATTTACATTCAGATAAATATTTCTAGAGAAACTGATAGACACACATGATTCTTTAGTATAGTCTCCATTTTGGCAGTTTTGTCAGCAAAACATGTGTATTTTAGAGGTGCGATATGAATATTTTGAATGAAACCATGACTTTTGTGTCTTTATTTATTATTTATTTTAACACATAAGTATAGGTAAAGGGAGGCACCAAATAGATATGCGCCACACAAATCTCAATTGATTTGTGTGAGGGCTGTGATACTGCCCGGGTGCCCAAACCGAAGCAGGTAGTTTTCTTAGGGGGCCACACCCCGAGCCTTTGACCTGAACGTCTGACCCACAAGGCAGTGGAGCATCGTAAGGAGATGCAGTCCCATGGTAACCGGTGACCAACGATTGGTTCATACGCCATTTGTTCCCGCAGGATACTGGAGCCCATGTGCACCATTGGTTTGGGGTCCGGTTAAAGCGCCAGACATTCGCTTTTCGTCCTCTCATTTTTGTAAACAACACACTCGCCACGAGAAGGCAGTGAGTAGGACTTCCCTGGCAGAGGATATATACGCATGGCCGTGTGAGAGTATTTCGAGAGGGAGAGCGGACTCTCCCCACTCTCGGCCGTACCAGGGCATTTGGGGGCTTTTGTGTCTATGACACATATAAAAATAAGAATAATTAAATCCCCACCCTGTTCATCACCTTTCTTTTCATTATCTTGCCGATGATAATAATAACGGTATTTATAATAGATTATCTTATTTATCCCTACATTGAAAAATAGAATTGCTTTTTTCTTTGAAACAGTCCTTTCTAGCTAAAATGACCTAGAGTTTATAACAAATAAGTAACTAATATTAAACAAATAATAATAACCATGACCCTGAGTGTATTTTACTACATGGGGTAAGATACAATCTACCGACATGATAAACAAAGTGTTGAATGAGCACTGAACTCAGAAAATTATTATTGAATCAATGTCACTTCATCACCAAGAACTATAAGAATAATCGGTATATACTGGAATTAATATGAATTATCTGAAGAATAAAACTGTTTTGTTGATAAAGCTATGGATACATAAAAAATAATCCGAAATATAATAACACAGAGTTATTGCATCGAAAGTACTGAATAATATATTCTGTCCTTTAGCTGTTATCTTGTGTTTAACTTATGTATGGCGAATAGGATTGGCAAATGTATATAAAGCTGTAATATAATAAGGTCGACATTTTTGGTCTTTTATGGAATGGTTCGTTTCAGATTTATCGAAATGAATAGTTTCAAATATCTATACGATTGTTAACAGTAATTCTTAGAAATAAACATTATCTGGTAGTGATACTTAATCATGTCTATAGGGATTTTATTCTACTATGGACTGGATGTTACAAAAATTAACAACAATGTATTACTGGATAGTAGGGTTAAATGTAAAAATTTAAGTAACTTTTAAGAATTTCATAGAATCATACGTTATGGTTCAAAAGATTCCCTACACAATGATGTCACAATGAATTCTTTTGGTGGATTCAAATAAAACTTGAATTCACATTCGAGGATGTTTCATAACAGACGCTAGAATTGATTAACTCACACTGAAATTTACAAAATCATTTGAAATATACGATTTTATCTAATCTCCATAAATTTAATCAAAGAAATTCATGCAATATATGATACATATATGAAAAAGCTTTTAATCACAAAAGATTTATTACCGGTTTTGAATTTATCCACTGTAGAGTATATGAAACAAACAACCTCGTTATCAGATGCTTCACAGGATTGTAAATTATAATTTTAACATAGTCAATAAATCATTAGTAGTTTATTCTTCGAATGTATAAAAGACATCTTTAAATTATTATCGTCTTATTTCACAAAATAATTTGGAACGTTCTAATAATAAATTCTATCAATAAAAACATCATTAATAGTGTAAAACTCATTCAGTAATATGCAACTTGGAGTATGGTGAACAAAAATTTTCAATGTCTCATAACAAGAATAACGCTAACAATGAATGGATGAAATATATGAAATTGATTAAGAAGATGGTCTCTCAATATCATGAATTGGTTGAAGTTAGACTTTAATGGCATTGGATGCTGGCTAACTGGTCCAGAGGTTAATTGTTCACGCGTGAGATTGGAATTCCATGTAAAAGATCGTCGATACGCACAGCTGAGGAGTTACATACTAGTACGGAACGGCCTTCTAGCGCTTCCAGGTTTTGAGTGGTAGTCTAACATTGATTCATTCATGATCTCAATCTAAACTCAACAAACTCCACAACCTTATACTGATAAAACAGTTTCAAGTTGTGATATTTCTTTTGATTAAATAAAACAAAATTAGAACAAAATTAGTCCGTACCTAAAGTGTTTAATTAGGGAAAACTAACGTGATACATGCAACGATTTATTTATTAGGAATAAATGCATAAAATCTCACTGCAGAAACGGAATTTAAACTCTTCACTACTTTTAGTAAAACATGACATATCTATTCGTTTACTCAAAAAATAAAAATGAGATAATTTAGAAATCATAATATTATTTCGAAGATTGAAATTATAAAGACATTCATAAAGAACTGACATGTTTCTTAAAAATGCAATGAAGTATGGTTTAAAATAACAAACTATACGCTGTTAAATAATTGTTCTTGAATGAGATTCGGCGTAAACTGAAAAACGATTATGTCTTTCTGTTTCCCATAACCAATATATATGAAATGAAGATAGCCTGTGAAGCGGATCCCTGCATTTATTCCTTAAAAAAAGCCTTTATAAAATAACACAATAATTATAAACTTATAACTGTACAATTCTCTGAAGTCAATTAAAACAAAAATTATTCATGATAATATTCTTTGTTGTTGAATACTCTTTGAGGTAATTCTAGACATTCATGTAATAAAACACTACACAACCAACAAAGTAGATGATATTAAAAAACGTTTTTGTAGTCATTGAAATAAGAAAATTTAAGTAGACATTGATTTATTTCAGGTAACGATATCAAATAAGTTTTACCTAAACTAAATTGATAGTGTTACCCTGGTAACTAGTTATTTTCCGTTCTTTTGAAATCCCAGACTTGTACACACATTGCGCTTATTTATTGGCTTTTATTTCTTTTTATCTTTATCATCGTTTATTTTAGCTATTTATTATATTTGTATAAATAACATTTCATAGGATAATAAATTTTTTTAACAAATATTAACGTTTTCTATCTAATACTAGAATAGTCATCTTTAGAGCATAAAGTTGTTCTATATGATTGATTTTCAGTTTCTTAATTATCTTTAAATACTTTTTCTTGGCGTGTTGTTTCTATGACAAGATGCATTATTAATCAGTAGCTCTAAATACAGTAAATAAAATGTTGATATCCAAGGGGAAAACGAGATCACTTTTCAAGCAGTTAAATTGTTGTTTAGTCAAGTAATAGTTCAATTTAGATCCATTTATATTATATCTCATTCATTCAAATGAATATTTCTATCATAAAACAAAGTTGAACTATTTATGAATAGATTTTCATTCATTTTTATCTTTATTTATTCAATATATTAGTCAAATTGCTTGAAATATTTTTCTTGAAATGATTTCTGAATTACAATTTTATTTCAATGGACGAGATCATGAGTCGATTGAAGCTAGAACACCATGGAAAACCTGGAAGCATTAGACAACCGTTTCACCCTATTTTGGCACTCCTAAGCAATACACATCCACGATCCCACCCCCCTCGAGATTCGAACACAGGATCTATCAGTCTCACGAGAGCGCTTAACCATTAGACAATTAAGCCGGCATCCAACGATGTTAGTGTCTAACTTCAACTAATTCACGAAATTGAACGACACATCCACCATTGTCTTTAATGAGTTACTATCTCACAACTGACCCAGTTGAACACCACTGGTCACTGCTTCTCACTAGAACTCCAGGATATACCTCTTGAAGCCAGTCAGTATTGAGCATTTGTTGATTCATATCAGAAGGGGTTTTGTGGATATTGTAATAATCTCAATGGTTTAGATCATGAGTTCTTCGAAGCTAGACCACCGTGGAAAACTCATGATTTCAACCATTGAAATTACTACAATATCCACAAAACTCCTTTTGATACAACTTTATTATTATTGAGATAAATTCAATGCAAATACTTTGGGTATAATTTATTTCAGTGAAATAATATTTATAAATACAGAAAATGTAACACAATTTCATTAGAATATTTATAAACACAAAAACTATTTAATCACCGAGCCACTGATAAACTAAATAGTTTAGCTGTTAAATGTAATGCTGATCCAGTATATCATTTAAGGGATTTCTTTAATTGTAATATTGGTAAAATGTTGACATTTTGAACTTTTTCAATGGTTTCTTTAATCTTTCCGTAAATTATTTTTTTTATGTTCTTTTTTCACTAGTTAATGTAATTAATATGGTAACCTAAAATCGTAGGTATTCTTTTCTTTTTTTGGTTAAGAATTAAAAGTGCATATTTGCCTAACACTATAAACATCTAGATTGTATATTTTATATTTCGGTAGAAATTTCTGTATTTTTTGAAAGTACGTATGGATAGATATTGTGTATTTAATTGAAAATCTTTAATATATGGTCCAAGGTTTGATTAAAATGGAACTTTTTGATGATTACACGTTGACTGATATTAATCTAATAATAGTCCCAAAATGCTTTATACTTTATTTTACACTCTTGTTTTTGTCTATGATAGTTTGTTAAACTAAGTTTTTTGAACAATAATAAACTTGAATGAAAACCAAATTCTTATTAAGTTAGAAGTGAATTTCCTTTTAATTTCAATTAGAATAAAGTATGGTATTAATTTAATAGTATAATCCATGTAAGATGATATAAAGTTTACATTTTTATCTCGTTAAATACCATGAGTGTTGACTTATCAAAATCTGTCTAAAAATTTTAATGCTTTTAAGCTATCTATGATATTTTAGGCAATAGTACTTTGTTATAAAAATTTCGTTTAAAATTCTTTCGCACAAATTACATTGATGTTAACTGAACTCGTTGTGAATACTTTACCTAAACTAAGGAAACTTGTCATTTTGCACTTACAATAATAAATACGTATCATGGATGCCCTGTGAGATGAAGTGCGATACTATAGCTAATTCACTTTATTTAGGGTTATTTCATGTTAATATGAAAGAAAACAGCTTTCTTAATAAGTTTATGAGCTTGAATTTGTCCGTTACAGATTTTTAGTACTGAATGCTCAGATCGCAAGTTAAGGTAAAACATTTATGCTGAATCTCTTCGATTATCAATGGTTAATCAGCTTGTATAAGTTGATACCCACTAAGATCTTCGAATATTCAGTGTTTATTGGCTGATTTATACTAGTATTAACGAAACAACTAGGAGATGTTCACAAATATTTATTCATATTTTGAAGGTGAATGTTACAAAGGGTCAAATGTAGACTTAAACCACTGAGAGGTCATTCAATAGCCAATTATCTTAGGAGTGAACTTTTTGCCTTTACGTGGAAATTTTATCAAAAAGGCATTTATTAATGGTGTTGATTCTACGTAGTAAACTATATTATATTGAACTAGGAAATATACATAACATTTACAGTATAAAATTCTGAAAATGGACATTATTTTAATCATTCTTCAATTAATAATATTTTGAAATGAAATTTATCTACATATTATACAAAGTTTCCACAGAACTAACGAGTTTAATCAATAAAAAGGCTGTTTAACGAAAGAAGTGCTAGTTCTAATCGAAGTAATTTTATGTATATACACCATTTATAAAACTTTTTTGGTTGGTTAGGTCTTGCACACTTCAAATTCATTAAGATGCTTAAGTACACATACCTTAAAATATATTTACTTTTAGATAATATGTCATAGTTTCAATTAATATCCTTAATTTAAACTAGCCGGTTTTTATACTATTCAATAGGATGACAGCAATTCAATTTCCCATTCACATTTGACAATCCAGTATGAATTCATAAAATATTGAAGTTATTCGTTTCTTTTCATGTAAAAAGATATTGAATTTTCACTTTCTATTACTCTTATCATCATTTGATTATTATCACTTAATTATAGGTCATTTTCTAGTTGACAAAGCAGCAAACAATTTATTATTGGATGAAGAAATTGACGAACAATACAATCAAATTATATCATCATTAGATCCAGAAAATGTATTAAAAAGGTAAAAAAGAATTTGTTAAAGCTACTAAAAGAAATACATTTTACTATACATATTTATACATTTACAAATATATACTTGTGTAATACTTATTGATACAAATCAAAAAGTATGCTAGTATGCATCGAATGCAGGTGTCAGTTCGAGAGACATAAAGTATCATATAGCTACTTTGTCCTAATACTGAACTTTTCATCACTATGCATCCACAATTATACACATAGTATGAAACATTGGACGATGCCCTCATATCACTGATTTTAAATTTAGTGGACTGTGGTTTGAAATTAAATTAATTTCTAATATGATATGATCTTTAGTGAACATCATCGACATATAACAGTTATGACATCTTAATAAAGTTTTACAATATACATTTTGAAACTTGTAACCAGTCGATTATTATCGAAGATATCATTTATGTCGAGAGTGATTTCCATCGTAAAGTGATATCAATTTAAGAACTATAAAAAAATTAAGTAGTAAACGAGAGTTTTCTCCAACAGTTTTTTTAGATGAAAACAGTTCATGACGAACACCACTTTTGTCGGTACGATTGTTGACAAGATACCTGAATGTTTCTTTAAGCTACATTACAGCACACCGGGACCAGACTATAATTTATGGATGAATCAATCAAATTTACAATAATAGGTCTTGAGTCTTAGCGCAAATTTAATTTATCTATTTCGCTAAATAGAGTTGTTGCATTATAGCTGATATCAGTACGTGGTAAGAATCCTAAATCTAATTTCTAACTCTAACTATCAACTGTAAATATTAATCCTAATCCCTTACACTGCTTTATAACCCTGAATCGGCCGTAGTATGTACGTGGACATTCTCAAGGTCTTTTCAACGTCCCCCAAAGGTCATCCATAAATTATAGTCTCACCGATACCGGATACAAATATATCATTCATATACTTTTTAGTATCTTGTCGATATAAATATTCGGCTTAGAATTACACAATGATAAAACTATATGAATAAAATCTATTTGTTTGAAAAATGAAGAATGTTGGATTTCTTATGCAAAAAATATTGATTATTTTTAAACAACGATGATCATATTCAACATACATTTACTAATGACTAGTAAAACTAATTCTAGATAGGGATGTCATTCGAACTAAATAGATTTTATTACTTTATATCAAATATGAAATAAATACGTAGTGAAATACAAAACTATCTAAAATGTAATTATTCATTTGATTAAAATGTAAACTGTTGCCTTCATACATTTTCTTCCAATCAAAGTAAAGGAATTATTATAAATAAATAAATACTTACTTACTTACGCCTGTTACTCCTCGTGAAGGAGCATAGGCCGCTCACCAGCATTCTCCATCCAACCCTGTCCTGGGCAATCCTTTCCAGCTCTTTCCAGTTCTTATTCATCTTTTTCATATCTGCTTCTATTTCCCGACGTAATGTGTTCTTTGGCCTTCCTCTTTTCCGCTTCCCTTCAGGATTCCAAGTTAGCGCTTGTCTCGTAATGCAGTTTGATGATTTCCTCAAGGTATATTCTATCCATTTCCATCGTCTTTTCCTAATTTCCTCTTCAGCTGGAAGCTGGTTGGTTCTCTCCCACAAAAGGCTGTTGCTGATGGTATCCGGCCAATGGATGTTGAGTATCATGCGTAGACAGCTATTAATAAATACCTGTACCTTCTTGATGGTGGTTGTTGTAGTTCTCCAAGTTTCAGCTCCGTACAGTAGAACTGCCTTGACGTTGGTATTGAAGATTCTGACTTTGATATTGGTTGAAAGTTGTTTTGAGTTCCATATGTTCTTCAGTTGAAGGAATGCCGCTCTAGCTTTGCCAATCCTCGCCTTGACGTCTGCATCTGAACCTCCTTGTTTATCGACGATGCTTCCCAGGTATGTGAAGGATTCCACATCTTCCAGAGTTTCGCCATCAAGAGTGATTGGATTGCTGTTCTCTGTGTTGTGTTTGAGGACCTTGGTTTTCCCTTTGTGTATGTTGAGGCCTACTGATGCAGAGACTGCTGCTATGCCGGCTGTCTTTATCTGCATTTGTTCGTGTGTATGTGATAGGAGGGCTAGGTCATCTGAGAAGTCCAAGTCGTCTAATTGGTTCTGAGCTGTCCATCGTATGCCGTAGTTTCCCTCAGATGTCGAGGTCTTCATAATCCAGTCGACCACCAGAAGAAACAGGAAGGGAGAGAGTAGACAGCCATGTCTTACTCCGGTCCTTACTTGGAATGCGTCTGTCAGCTGTCCTCCATGCACTACTTTGCACTGTAGTCTATCGTATGAGTTCCGGATAATGTTGACAATCTTCTCAGGAACTCCGTAGTGTCGACGAAGTTTCCATAACGTCCTCCTATCTACACTGTCAAATGCCTTCTCATAATCAATGAAATTGTTGTAGAGTGACGAGTTCCACTCAATTGATTGTTCGACTATGATCCGTAGTGTCGCAATTTGGTCTGTGCACGACCGGTCCTTACGGAATCCAGCTTGTTGATCTCGAAGTTGAGCGTCTACTGCGTCTTTCATCCTGTTTAGTAACACTCTGTTGAAGACTTTACCTGGTATTGACAGTAGTGTAATGCCTCTGTAGTTTTCACACTTGCTCAGATCTCCTTTCTTTGGAATCTTGATGAGGTGTCCTTCTTTCCAATCCATCGACACTTGTTCCTCCTCCCAAATCTTCTTGAATAGAAGATGAAGCATGCTTGTAGTTACTTCGATGTCTGACTTCAACGCTTCAGCTGGTATATTGTCAAGTCCTGCTGCTTTCCCGCTCTTGATTTGTCTGACGGCCATTCTGATTTCTTCTGTCGTTGGTGGATCAACATCTATAGGATGATCTGTGTGTGATGCTTCGATGTCCGGTGGATTCATTGGAGCCGGCCTGTTCAGGAGTTCCTCGAAGTACTCTGCCCATCTGTTCCGCTGTTGTTGAATCTCAGTGATTGGTCTTCCTTCTTTGTCTTTGACTGGTCTCTCTGGTTTACTGTATTTCCCTGCTAGCTTCTTCGTCGTACCGTAAAGCTGTCTCATATTTCATTCTCTTGCAGCTTTTTCCGCCGCCGTTGCTAGTTCTTCCACGTATTTTTGCTTGTCAGCTCTAATGCTCTTCTTCACTTTCTTGTTTGCTTCTATGTACTCTGCTTGTGCTTGGACTTTCTCTGCTCTTGTTCGACTGTTGTTAATTGCAGTCTTCTTGTTCTTTCTTTCTTTGATCCTGTCCAGTGTTTCTGTAGAGATCCATTCCTTGTGATGATGCTTCTTGGGGCCCAGAACCTCTTGACACGTTGAAGTTAGTGTTTCTTTGATGCCTTTCCAACTATCTTCCATAGTAGTTTCTTCTTCCTTCAATAGGTCCTGTAAGGCTTGGAACCTGTTGTTGAGAGCTACCTTGAATTCATTGAGTTTGTCAGTATCTCGAAGGAAGGCTGTATTGAACCTTTGTGGTGCTGTTTGTCCAGTTGTCCAGTTCTTCTTTAGCTTCAGTTTTAATTTGGCCACAACCTGGTGGTGATCTGAGGCTATGTCCGCTCCTCTCCTGGTTTTCACATCTTCCATTGTCCTTCGGAACTTTTTATTGATGCAAATATGATCTATCTGGTTCTCTGTGGTGTGATCCGGTGAGATCCACGTAGCTTGTGTATACGTTTGTGTGGAAATATTGTACCGCCTATGACCAATTTATTGAATGCACACAGATTTGCAAATCTTTCCCCGTTTTCGTTTCTCTCTTCCAGTCCATGTAGTCCCATGATGTCTTCATATCCGGTGTTGTCCATTCCGACTTTGGCGTCTAGATCTCCTATCAGAATGGTGAGGTCTTTTCTTGGGCACTTCTCTATGATTGATTGCAGCCTCTCATAGAATTGATCTTTAACGTCGTCGTTGCTATCATTGGTGGGTGCATAACATTGGATAATGTTCATTGTGATCCCCTCCTTTGTTTTGAATGATGCTTTGATGATTATAGATCCATGAGATTCCCATCCTACAAGTGCATTTCGTGCTACTTTGGATAGCATTAGAGCAACTCCCTGAGTGTGTGGAGCATTTTCCTCTTCGTGACCGGAGTATAGCAGCATCTCTTCCGTATTTAGCCTTTGTTGTCCAGCTTGGGTCCAATGGGTTTCACTGATTCCCAGTACTGCCAAGTCGTATCTCCTTATTTCCGTTGCTATTTGACTGGTCTTCCCGTTCTCCCACATTGTCCGGACGTTCCATGTACCTATAAAAATTGTTGCTCTGGTTGTTAGAAGGGGCATCGGCTTCGCGGCTTCCGAAGGAACTCAGCTTTCACCATGAAGCGTCATATTACCTCTAACTCCCAGGGCAGAGTTTAAATGGTTTGAGTTATTTTTTCTGGTTAGCGTTTTTTTAGCGAGTTAGTTTTCTACGGGATGGGGACACTAACCCCATGCCCAACCCTCCTCCTTTACCCGGGCTTTCGGATATTACAAATATATTATTTATTTATGACAATCAACCCAATGCTCAATTTAAAGGAATTATTATTAAGTTGACTTTTTATAATAAACTAATTAAACAGATTCTTTTACTAACCTTCATCTTATTTTTCTCATTTTATCGTTGTTCTTTTCGGAATTAGCTATGAACAAGTAAAACATATATGGAAATACATGAAATTGGCTAATTCACATTTATTACCAGAATTTGAAGATATGTTAAGAGCTATAATGAAAGAGGTTAATGGTGCTAGAGTAGAATATGAAAATATGGAACGTATGATACAAAAGTAAGCTTTATTTCATATCATTTGTTCCCCTCTATTAAGACAATAAATAAGAAAGATTGATTCAGACGAAAAGAGAACTCTTCACTGAAGTGATTTATTTTGTCTGAAAGGCTAATTCCTCTTTGGTGTGTAAAAAATTTGAAGGAGAACGTTTTTTATTTAGACAGAATAGTCTTAACTGTAAAATTCACTCTGATTGATCTATGGTTGAAAACATCGGTTTAAAACAATATCACTATCATCGAAATGATAAAGTACCTGGTAAGAAATCAATAAATGCATTAATGTATTGACAGTCGTTCAATGTGATGAATAAGGCTCTGGGTTACGAGTGAAGTATTAAAATGTCAACAACAACTAATAAAAAGGTGTATAGGTTCTGAGAAAAACAAATAATAAATGTATATAATTTATTGAAGATTGCTTATAATCATGTTAGTTAAAATCTACAATTGCTGATTTTGATTTACTTTGAAAGAAATTTAATTATGAAGTAAACAATGAAAAAAACCCAATAAATTCTTGATATAATCATATAGTTTCATATATTGAAAACAGCACATGCGAATAACATTTAGCACTTTTGCTCTCTATTTCATTGAGATTAATAGTCTACTAATATTATCCACAAGGTATGTTACGAAATTCCCTTTTTACTTAATGAGTTTTATTCAACACAACTGTATAATCAAATGTATCTGCTTTAGTAAAATGTTTGCAATTTTAATTGTACTATTGTTTTATACAGTTTACTTATTGAATATCTTCTAGTTTTATTCGCATAGTTCATACTTCTTCTTCTTCTTCAAGCAATTAACTAACAGTTCGTAGTTCGATTAATTTTAGATCAGTTCACATCTATTTTTTCCATATGATAAAACATTTTTTATGGAAAAAAGGTAAATAACTAAAAACTAAGAAGCTTTTATCCTCTTGTTGAAATTGTTAGAAATACTTCAACTAGACGATTAGTTCAACAGTTATTTTATTTGTTAGAAAATTGATGAAGTAATCAAAATGGATAATATAGATATTCATTGACCTATAAAGTTATGTAAAGGAATAAACAATCATTTTCTATTAGAAATCATTATGTATAACGTTTTATCCGTGTTCAATAGTATTCATGAAACTATTATTAATATTACCAATATTAAATTAATAATATATTTGTAAAACCCCAATGAGTAGAAAAATGAGATTTTCTGACGTTTCGTGACTTAGTGTAAGTCACTTCTTCAGAGAATAAATAACTAAATTAAAACTGATCTAAGTTTAAATAGTACAACGGAACAATAAGAATAATATGTGATCAATCAAAAATAGGTCTGAACAAGTTAATGTCATTTAATTTCGGTCAAGATGATTAATAAGTGATATGTATGTAAATTTGTGTGTAAGTATGTGTGTACTGTTTAAGGATGAAAAAATATATATGGAACGCTTCAGCTACTCTCCTTTCTTTGTAATTAGAAAAGCCTTTTTGCAATATTTTGATATTTTTGAAATCAATTTGGTGGTCGATGAAAATGGCATGAACTACTATTGCCGATTTAATTTGAAGTTTATTCAATTCTACGGGATTGTTAGGAGGTTTCATTCGAATTTTTATAACGCACTAAACCGTCTTGTTGTAATATACATCTGATAATCTTCATAGGAAAATTATTAAATTGTAAGATACTAATTACATTCTTTTGTTCATTTTGTTTATCTTCTTCTGATGTGATGATCTTATTAGCTCTTCTAAAAAGATTTAAGGCTAGCGAGATCTTAGCACTGAAAGAATGTGCTGAGTGGAAGACAATATAGTGATTAGAGTGTGTAGGATTTTGGTAGATGGATAGATTTAGAATTCCATTTAGATTTCTTTTCACTAAGCAATCTAAGAATGGTAGCTCACCAAGTTCATTTTCATTCGTGGATTTGATATGAGATGAAAGTGTATTTGTCCGTTTTGAAAAAGATCTTAGATGATTCTTTTTATCACAACAAATGTATCATCTACATATCTAAGCCAAATTCGTGGTATAATGTCGTGGGCGAAAATATTTGATTCTATGTGTGACATACCAGTATTATTATTATGGAGATATTTAGCATCTAGAAAACACTCAGCTTACATTAATAATCTTTTACATATTGATAGTTATTAATTGATAGTTATACAGATCGGAATAATATTTACAGAAATCTTAATGCATTAGATGATTGATATTGGACTAAAAATGAATTAGTTGTCAACGATCTTTGTGCATCACTTAATGTAATTTCTCTATTAATTGAGTAATAACTTGCTAAACATCACGATTATTTGTTAAATTATCACTCCAATCGTGAAAAGCATGACTGTACGGTTTTGACAACATTCTCTGATACAATGATAGGTCATAATATACCATAAATAAGAAATTATAACATTTGTTTATTAGGACAGGTTTATAATTAATTTACAACACATTAAGAACCATAAAGATAAAACAACAGTTAATGAATAAAATGGAAGCTAACAAATTTCCAATGTTTATTAAACTCATTGATTTCTTTTATCTTAACACTATCTAAACATTATCATCCTGTCATAATTAATATACTTACTAACCACGCTAAACAAAGTTAAATAAATTAACTGTAAGCTACATTTCTTATTTAAAAAGTAACTCGACAAGATTACCGATATTCGTAACTGATCCACGTATCACAAACATGGTCTATTAATAACAGAACTTAAATTGATTGAACGGATTGAACACTGATCATTTAGAGAACTAGGCCTTATAAGTGAGTTAATGAATAATATCAGATTGATATCATAGAAATATTTGACTTTAAATCCAAAGTCTCATAGTCAAATTTTAAAAAAAGTTAAAACACAGCTGAATGACGCCCATCTTTTTAACTTTAAACAAGACTAGACAAATAAACTAAGGTACATTCAATAAATACTTTAATTTATTATCAGATTGGAAATGTTCTGAATACCTAGCTCCTTGTTAGGCATAAAGCTTCAATATCTTACCTTATCTAAAACTACTGAAAATACAAATATTCACTGATGTTTTATACTGTTGGAATACAATCACTGTTATATGCAGTTGAACTTATGAAAAATTCTCAGCTGTTTTTTCATTATTTGGTCCGGTGGTTGGTGATAAGTAATTGAATTCGGTGACAGATTTGAAACTGCACAGCTATATGTCTTAGTTAAGAATATTTCACCGATTACTTAACATGAAATCTAACCAGTCATAAATAGCTTGCAACGAAAATATTATGTTTGAACCAATTCTACTAGACTACAGTACAGATCGTTTTCAATTCCAATCAATTTTCGATAAATAATCCAACAAACGCTTTATTTACACGTCAGTACCCATAATATTATTGATTAACGGCGGCCTGCTTGAATATCTGGGCTACCTGTTTCTGCCATCTAGTTATTTCAACAAGTTATCTGTTTTTTATTTTGTTTTAACGTCTCATTATGTCCATTAATCACATAACATATACAGGCGCGTTTATGAAAAGCCTGCACAAGTTACAAAAAACTACAATAGAAGACATCGTGGTGGTTGGCAATATGCGTTGAAGAAAATGAACATTAATCGTATGTCGATTCCCGAGTTGCTAAATTCTAACTACCGATCATTAATTAACAAGATAGACTATCTTCAATTCCTACTAAGTCAAAATATGTATCGTAATTGTGGTGTCATCACAATTCAAGAATCTTGGTTAAACGATTTACAGGACGACTGCTTGGTATCCCTACGTGATTTCAAAATTTATCGTCAGGATCGATCAAACGATAAAAAGAGGTGTGGCGGCGGTGTAGCTACTTTTGTAAACGTGAACTGGTGTCGATCTACATTTGAGTGTTTCAAGTTTTCAAATGACTTTATCGACTGTCTAACTCTAAGATGCCGTCCAAAACATCTGAATAAATACAAATATGTTTATGTTACCAATATCTATGTGACCTCAGACTGCACATCATCTGCGCTATCTGTATTCGCTGATGAATTCACTGAATTCGCCGTTACTGCCTTCAATGATTCGCTTTCAGTTGTATGTGGTGATTTCAATTCATGTGACTGTAGCTTCTTTACATTACTAGGTCACCAAAATGTAGTAGATTTTCCTACTCGGTTGGATGCTCATTTAGACTTCGTTTTCATTAATGATGTAGGTATATATGTGACTCGTAAACGTGCCCCATTGTCTAGCTCAGATCACTGTATAATTCGTGTTTTACCTAGAGTATATGGAAAGCATGGCAAGAGTATACTCTTAAATCAAACTAAGAAAGTCAAATATAGAAATTACTCAGAAGAAAATATCCGAAATCTGAAAAACATGTTTCATACGACCAACTGGGAATTATTTACAGATGACCCACTGGAAATCACTTCTGATGTTATCACTTGTTACCTTAAATTCTGTTTTAACATTTGTTGTCCCACTGAAACTATTTTTGTAAGTTTTGATCGACTTACATCTTCACAACTAAAACGACTACGGAGGATGAAAGAAAGAATGTACAAGGAGAAAAACTCTAGTGAAGTTCGTAAGCTAAATGGTCTGATAAATCTCAAGATTCGTCGTCTCAACACTATGTCTGCTCGAAAACTATACTTCTGCTTTTGATTCCATATCAAGACAACGTTTACTTAACAAGTTAATCAGCGTCAACAATGACAGCTGGATAACCAACTAGCTATGTTCCTACCTCTCTGGAAGGGAACAGTACACGGTGTTTGGAGGAAAGTGTTCAGAGTCTCTAGTGTCTTATGAAGGTGTACCACATGGAGCTGTTCTTTCACCTCTTCTTTTCTCTTTTTTTCTGCATGATCTGCCATCTTCCTCAGTAAACACCTTCGTGAAATATGCAGATGATCTCACGGTTTGTATGCCTATCTCTTCATCTTTACATCCTATAGAAATGAATGAGTTCTTATCTCGTATTGATAGTTGGTCTGTTGTTAATGGTCTCATACTTA